AAGGAGGTTTGGGAGAGACCTTTTCACTCTCTATAACTCCCTGACAGGAGAGTGGAGCAAGGTGGAGATGTAACAGGCAACAGGATGAGAGGAAAATTATGTCATGGGAGGTTTAGATTGGATAGCAATCTAAAGGTTGTCAAGCATTGGAATAAACTGTGCAGGCCAGCCAGTGGTAGTCACCATCCCTGGAGGGATTTAGAAGGTGTTTGGATGTGGCATTTGGGGACATGGGTTAATGGTGGCCTTGGCAGTGCTGAGGGAATGAATGGAGTAGGATAGAATAGAATAGGATAGGATAGGATAGAATAGAATAGAATAGAATAGAATAGAATAGAATAGAATAGAATAGAATAGAAATAGAATAGAATAGAATAGAATAGAATAGAATAGAATAGAATAGAATTAGAATAGAATAGAATAGAATTAGAATAGAATAGAATTAGAATAGAATAGAATTAGAATAGAATAGAATAGAATTAGAATAGAATAGAATTAGAATAGAATAGAATATTTTGTTTGGAAGGAACCCACAATGGTCATCTCATCCATCTGCATTTTAATTTTGGCAGTTTGGGAGCAGCTTTGGGGTGTGAAAGTTCTCCCCCTGGTTTGCAAAGATCTTTGTATGCTTGTGGGGGAATTTTAGCATCTCCTACATCGCTCCCCTTTGGGCATCTTAGAATCAGGATGTCCTCCATTCCAGGGTATTGGGGTGGGAAAAGAGACACCCAGCCCACCCAGCCCTTTCCCCTCTGCCATGTGGGGTCAGCACCTCCTGGCTGGGGGGACATGGAGGTTCAGGAGCCTTAAAAGCCTCTGTTTGCCTTGGTGCCCACCCTGCATGAGTTACCTGCAGCTGCAGGGAAAGCTCAGGTGCCACAGCAGAGCCAGGGCACTGAGTCCTGCTCCCTGTGCCACCCCCTCAGCTTGGGAACTGTCCTGTCACAGCTTCCTTGAGGAAGGACAAATCAGCAAATCTCACCTTTTAGGCCCCCTGGTTAACACAACACGTTTCATTTTCTCCCTGCCAGGTGCTTCAGTGGAAACAGCTCCCCTGGGTGCCACCCCTGTGCCCAGAGCCACTGTCCCATCCCGTGACAGCTCTGTGAAGTCCCTTACGCAAGAGAAGAAGCTGCCTGTTGGGAACAGAGCCAGCAGCACCCCCTGTGTGCCAGCCAAGGAGAGAGTAGGTGACCTTTCCTCTTGCCACTTGCATTTCACTCCTGTCCTTGTGCACTCCCAGTGGTTGGGAGATTTTCTGTTGCAGTGTCACACTGGTGATGAGTTTATTCAGGGATTTTTTACCCCCACTGTGGTGTTTATGTTACCATCCACACACATTGTGTGGTGGAGCATGGGAGAAGGGAGCCAAACTCTGTTGGGCTTTGACTCCTTATCTTCCCAGTCAGTTTTGTGGCTTCCAGGTGCTGTTCTCCTCTGCTCTCCTTCCTTCCTGCCTCCTTCACCTCCCTGTTCCCTGTGACCCAACCTTGTTGATGCAGCTTTGGGGCTGTGTTGAAGTAGCTTTGTGTGGGACCTGTGTCCCCAAGCCCAGGTCATTGGGTGCTCCCCTTGACCCCCAGCCCCTCTCCTTGTCTCCCAAAGGTGCTCCCAGCCTCGGCAGACCCTGTCCTGGCCACAGCTGTGGTAGGCGGCTCCCAAGGCGTGGCTGGGAGATCGGCTTGCCGGGTGAGCTCTGCCACCAGCATCTGGGCACCTCAGAGTGATGAGGAGAAGGAAGAGGAGCTCAGCAAGCCAGGTGTCCTCATGTCCACGCCTCAGGGCAGCCCAGAGGTGGCCAGCACACACCCGAGCTCTCAGGAGCCCAGCAACCCCTCCAGCAGCCTTGGCCTCGGCAGCGACCCAATCCTGGTGAGTGAGGATAGCGTGAGCTCAGGAGCAGCACTGCCCAGAGTCTCCTCAGTTCCTGCAGGCCCCAGAGCAAAGGAGGCACCTGGAGCAAGGAGAGACTCCTGTCCTGCTCCAGGCTGGGACAGCAGCTCCCTGGGCACCCACGAGCTCCGTGTGGATCATCACCCCAGCGTCCAGCTTGGAGCCGGCACCGATGGGGTCACTCCCCTTGGAAGCGCCGTGAATTCCAGCTCTGGCAGTGCCACCAGCTCCCCTCAGGGCAGAGCCCCAAAGGGGGACAGCAATGGCCTGTCCCTGCTGTACATCCTTCCAGCTGTGGGTGTCATTTCTGCCGTGGTGTTCGCCGTGTACGCCCGGCTGCGGAAATAGCGATGGGACAGCCCGCCAGTGACACAGCCAGGGGCTTCCTCTGGCAACAGGATTTTGGCCAATGCATTTGAAGCCTGAAGAGTAGCAAAGGGCAGTAGGGGCGTTGTTAAATCTTTTTCTGGAAGGTTCTGCTGGAAGAGGCCTTGGTACATGATGCTGTTGGGTTTGGGTCCGTTCCCTCCCATTTCCCAGCCATCTTCTTGGCTGTAGCCTTCTCTTTTTACAGCCCTCAGGGAGAAGATCTCGCTCCAAAATGTTCCATTGAGTCAAAAAGAAAAGCACTTATGGTGATTCTCCATGTCTTGTTTGGTCCCAGGAAGTCTCAGGGAAACTGGTGATCCAAAGGGTGACCTCCAGGTCCTTTGTGCAATGCAGCCAGGAGAGGTGGTGCAGGTATCCTGTAACAGCAGAGCTCATTTTCTTGGCTCTGCTCATCTTGGCTTGAAAATGTGCCCAAGGGTGGGTGCAGCAGCCTCCACTGGACATCTCATGTTCAGTTTGCCTTCCTTGGTGTCTCTGGCTCTGCTGCTCCTTCTGGGATTGTTTCATGTAGTACTGACCCTGGGGATAAACATGAGGGTCAGGAAAGAGCTGCATCTAACAAGGATTATCAAGGATCAGCCTCATTTCACCCCCTCCAGGCAGGGAAAGGGGTTTCTCATTTAAGAGGAATGTTTCAGGCAATGCCAACTTCAAGCAGACTTGGTCCCACAGAAAGTTGCTGGCTGTCTTTGATTTTTAGGCTGGATCTTTGCAGTTGGGTTGGAAGGGTGGATGGAATTCCTGATACCTGTTGTTGTGGGGTTGGGGTATAGGAGCCTTCTGCCCAGGCTGGAACACAAACAGGATCAACTGCAGGGAGGCCACAGCAGAGTCTGAGATGCTCTGGGCTGTGGGGAGACCTTGGAGCACCTTCCAGTGTCTGAAGGGCTTGGAACAGACTGGTCCTGGGGGAGGTGTCCATGGCAGAGGGCTGGGGTGAGATGCTCATTGATGGCCCTTCCCACCCCAACCATTCTGTGATTCTAAAATACAGCAAAGCAGGGAAGCAGCAACAGCTTGGAATAATTACATTGCTCCAGGCTGTTCCAAGCCCTATTCAGCTTGGCCTTGAACTGTTCCAGGGATGGAGCAGCCACACCTGTGTCAGTGCCTCACCACCCTCACAGGGAAGAATTTTTTCCCAGTATCCCATCTATCCCTGCCCTCTGACAGTGGGAGCCATTCCCCTTTGTGCTGTCCCTCCAGATACTTGTCCAAAGTCCTTCTCCAGCTCTCTTGTAGGTACTGGAAGGTGCTGGAAGGTCTCTCTGAGTGTTCTCCAGGCTGAGAACTCCCAGGTCTCCAGAGCAGAGGGCTCAGTCCTGTGGCCTCACTGCAGCAGCTCCACATCCTTCTGATGTTGGGCACAGCACTGCAGGTGGGGTCTCACCTGAGCAGAATCACTTCCCTCATCCCAGTAACTTATTCATCCTGAAGGAGTTCCTAAAATCCTCTCTTCCTGCTGGCAGGGAGCTCAGCCCATCACACCCAGAGGTTGGCCTGTGGTGGGAAAGGTCACTCAGCCCTCAATGGCTGCTCCTCCCTCCCAATAGTTCCCTTCTGCCCAAAAATGCAAGAAGTGCCTCCATGAAGCAAGGCCAGCCAGTAGATACAGAAGGGAGGTGTTGATGTGCTGTGTCAGAGCTGCTTTCCAGAAGAGCTCGAGGTGTTCATTCCTTGCTCAGTGCCTGCTGCTGAAGGAGGGAGGGACAACCCTTCAAACACACCCAGCCCCCTCTGCCAGGAGAGGGATGTGGGGCTGCTCTTCCCATCACAGATAAAATGGTTTTCACTCCCTAAAGGAGGGCCTTGCCTTCTCCACACTTTGTGTAATTCGGGGCAGATCCATGAGATCCCAAACCAGCCTCATCCATACCAAGGCTCTCTTCTCTGATGCTTTACTTGCCTGTGCAATTCTTCCCATGTTTTTCCGTACATTTAAGCAACAGCTTGTATGCTTTGCCTTTTCATGTTGGGTTTCTCTTGTGGAACAGCTGGTTTGTCACCACCTCACACTGAGGAAAACAGTTCAGATTGCTGCTGTGAAGTGCCAGGATTTTCACAGTTGTTATGTAGCACTTTAAAGCCTCATTGGCAGGAGATGGTGCAGGAGGGAGCTGTGTCCCAGCACATCTTTTACTAACAGGCTAAAAAGCCTTTCACTAACTATAATAAATTGGTTTGATGCTTCACACTTGCCTTGTTGTGATTTGTGGGACGAAGAGCAGGAGGTTGATGATGCTGTGGCTGGAGGCAGTGCTCTGAAGGGCTCTGTTGGCAGTGACACTGAGAGACTGAGGTGACAGGAGGAGGTGACAGGGTTCAGGGTTCCAGACCTCATTCTGGAGCAAGCACCTGATCCAGAGGATGCCCATCATGGCAGCTCTTCCTGTTGGTGGTTGGATGCCCAGGATGAAAGCAGGGAAGGTGGCTCCTGAGGCAGTGAAGATCTGAGCTGCACAAGTCAGGATGTTGTCACCAAGGAGGAACTGGGCTGTCACAGCTGAGATGGCCATGATACACAGAGTGTCACCATAAAATTTCAGAAGGGTTTAAGCATACAAAATAACACCATAACACTTCAGCAGGCTGCAAGCATCTGCCCTCCTTGTTCTTTAGCCCAACCTTTTACACCCCTCATGTTGATGCATTGCACCTGTGTGCCCTCTGTTCCCCGTGTGATTGGTCAGTTCAACTCAGCACTCCTTATTTTCAGTGCTGTTCACCTGCTTTTCACAGCTGTACCCATTGGGGATGAGGCTGGCCACAGCCTCCCTCATAATTACCACAAACTGTGTGCCTACACTGGGAAAATTCTGGGAAGAGAAATGCACCAAGCATCTGCAAATTGTTGTAAACTTGATGGGTGAAACAGAGCCACAAGGAGCTGAGGCTGGAAGAGAAGGGAGTGGATGTAACCAGGTGGACACAATGCACAGATGTGTGCTGAGCAGCCAGGATGCTGCTTTATTCATTATCCAGGTTTTCTCTCCTGGGATCCTGCCCAGAAAATGGGCACCTTTTCCCTGCTGGGCCACCTCAGCCACTCTGGGTTCAGCTCTGGGGCTGCTGCTCCCCTTTTGTTGTGCCCTGAACAGCTCTGACCTGCACAACAGAGGCACCAACATCCTTAAACCACTGCTCACCCCTGTGTGCTGTCTGGGGACAAACAGGAAGCTTTTGGGAGGGAACAGCCCTTTCCTGTGCCCTCTCCATGCTCTGTCCCACAGCTGAGAACCCCATGAGCTTCCCAGCTCCAGGTGTGTCAAACACAGCCAGCAGGGCTTGAAAATACCCCAGAGCTTTGGGCAGCTCAGCCAGTTCCTTTTTTACCCAAATGAAAGCAACGCAGCTCTGAATGAGATTATTTGTGTTCAGAGAGCTCATCCTTTATCTCCTGTCACTGCCAACCCCATTTATCCATTTCCTCTCCTCACCCAACAGGATATTAAAATACATCAACTGAATTTGGCCGATCCCTTTGTCCCATTTTCACTCTGGCAACCAGGATTCAGCAAATTTTCATGGAAACATTATCACAGCTTTGTGGAATGTTGGTCACTGATCCTTCAGGTATCAAATTAATGCCTGAGGGTTGTGGTGAGCTGGGATTACCTGGGGGCAGGTGAGGAGCACCCTGGGTCACCATGCTTGGTGTGACAGACAATTAACATTCCACCAGGGAATCTCCATCATGATGGCATCCTGTAGGCTGGGAATCTGTTTTCCTTTTGAATTTTCATCCTGTTGGTTGCTTACACCCCTCTTCACAGTTGCCTCAATTTTTCCACCACCAGGAGTTTTCCTGCTGTGCTTGTTGATAAACACAGGTTTAAAGAACAGGGATGTGTCCACACTAGAATTATGTTGGGATGGAAAGGAGAGCTGAGCATTTTAAGATCTTAGCAGGAAATTCTTCCTTGTGAGGGTGGTGAGGCCCTGGAATGGATTTCCCAGAGAAGCTGTGGCTGCCCCTGGATACCTGGAACTGTTTCAGCCCAGGATGGATGGGGCTTGGAGCCACCTGGGACAGTGGAAGGTGTCCCTGCCCATGGCAGGGGGTGGAACAAGGTGGTTTTTAAGGTCCGTTCAGGCCCGCCATGGTGGGTTGCAGACCACCCCACATCTGTATGCATCGTAATCTGCATATGCAAATCATATTCAAATAAGCCCCTCCGCGCGGCCCAGGTCAGCCGAACCTACTGCGGTTCTTCCCTTCGGCCCCCCGCGTTGCCATAGTTACCCAGCTGTCAATCACCGCGCCTTCTCCCGCCCTACCCGGACAGCTCTCTCGATCATTGGGCGGTTGCCTTGTCAATCTCGGCTCAGAGGAAGCCCATAGGCCCGCGCTGCCGCATATCGGCCCGCCTCACCGGGCACACGCTTTTGATTGGGCAGTCGCGCTTGTCACTCTAGG